TGGTTTGAATTGGGTGGAAACATTTATAGCTCAACAGGTTAGCCCATTAGTTCTATCATTCAATTCCTCAGATTCTTGCTGGTAACTYTTCAAAAAAACTGATTGTTTGCATTTAAGGTTGGTTTGTTTATCTATCTATTAATATTTTTTTTATGTTTTGAATATTTTCAATTAGATATTGCAAAATCAGAAGAGCTCAGTAAAATACTGTTAACTTGACACCTTCCACTGTTTAGAGATATCACAAAACATTATTAGCAGTCTGAAAATGAATGACCACCTATCGTTACTCATTATAAGGTAATTTCCCATCAATATTAGTGTGCTCTTGTTAGAGAATTTACCAGTCAGAACCATTCAAACTTTTCCAATTCAGSAATTCTTTTGATAGTATTGTAAGTAGTTATTAATAGTTTAAAAACAATTTTGCTTCAAGCAAATAAGATAATAATTAGCAACTTACATGCACGATAGTGAAGTACAGTCAACTCTCATCTTGCAGACACCCTAGTATTACAGACACCCCGATCTTATAAACACCTAAATAATCCCCTGACTATAAATTCGAAAAAAATAATAACCCCCTTCAGAATGGACATTTGCTTTTGTTGACACTTGATTATTGCCTCCAAGAAGTCCATTATAGCAAAAGTTGATGGTATACTTCACTGTTTTTGCTAGCTGGTTTTCATCTACAATATCACGTCACTGTATAGCATTGCATATCATTCTATAACTAGTTTGACTGGGAAGCCAAGTGCTGAATCAGGAAGCCCAAGTAAAGAATCTACTATATAATTATAACTAATTATGTATTATGCTGCTTATTGCAATTTTGAATTTAATACTTTTTAATGCACTGGCTACATTAGAGTACAAACATTAAATGTGTGCGACACTTTCCACTATTCACTACAAAATAGTGTTAATTAAACAATAGAAAACAATAGAATTAGCATAATTTAGCATGAGTATTTAGTGGTATTTATGTTGCACAGTTTTAGTGTTTGTACTCAGCCTACTGAACTTTGTGTTACCTCAAGATTATGTAAATGTGGGGAGTTTTCTTAGTTAAAATATTTTACAAGTGAAAATGATACTTATATTCAACCTATCCTTACTGTGAACATGTATTAAGTACATTGTTGCCATAACAACACTTTTACTTGTTACCATGACAACCTCATGAAGATGAACCATTCAGACCATTGATGGCTAAATTTGKACCTCCAGTACTAGTGCCTAACAGTACCTAMTAGTACCTACTAGTACCTCAAAGTCAACTCAAAGTGACCAAGTTGATTATCAAAGTCAAGATTGATGAGAAAGTCATCTTCATCCACAAACAGTTCAATCATGCGATCATCCATGTTCACAAGGATTCTGAAATAACATGAAAACAGAAAATAATGTTATTCAAATGCATGTTTACATCCTTAAATGCAGTTAGAGGCTTTTCGTGATTAGCAAGACTAACAGTTGCTATCACAAATTGATAATTAAAATGTAAGAAAATGAGCAGCAAACTAGTGTGAGCTGTGTCAGTGTTTCTAAAGAAACATTTGTGTAAAAAAAATTTAACATGATAAAAAAGTAGGTGAATCAACATACTGACATTTCAGATGTTAACCCTTCTTCGGAAGGTTAACGGCTGAAGGATTAACGTTCGAAACGTCAGCAAGTTGTTTCACCTACTTTTTTATGGTTTTAAAAATATCTATGCAATTTTTTTATGCTGCATTTGGATCAGACAGTATGAATACAAGTAGCTTCCATGACGGGATAAGACACCCTGTCAATCAAGGTTTCGTTTGATATTATCATCATTTCCAAAAGCAACAGAGGGGAAATGGAACCATATTTAGAGTGAAGTAAATTCAACAATAGAAAACCAAAGTAAATTGTATAATTCACTGCAAAATTATTTTTTTATCTGATTTTTTTGTATTTACAGTGTAGACTCTATCAAATTTGATAGTTGGTTTAAACAACAGCAGTTTTTATCTGCCTAATCTGAAGAACTACATGTAAGTCAATTTGGCTTTGAGAATTAAATCCATACTCCCATTCAAAGTTGAGGACACAAAATCAATGGATCAATCAATCAGTTGACATACCCTTTCTTTGTCTTCTTATAAACACTTTTTATCATATCTGGAGGTACATTATATTTACTGGAAATCTAATCAAATACATACAATATAAATATAAGTAAATAAGTAATACAAAAATGAATGAACTTTGCTGTTACAGAAATAAACTTCAATATTCATTCAATATTGATTGTGTTCGTACAGATATTTTTTTCAGAACAAACATATAATGTAAAACTAATTAAGACAAACAAAGTTTGCTTGCCTAAAMTTAATTTCATTAACATCTGCAACTGTGGGGTAAGATAACAAACTCTGGATGAGATGAGAACTAAAAGTGACTCAAATATAAATTCAAATCACCATACATTTAAAAGATAGACTAATCTTTCACTACATGCATTTTATGAAAATAACCAAAAMGTTTTCAAGACCCCAAAGTCCACTAAATATGACCATATTTTCATTAAGTGCATTGCATTAAAATAAGGTATGTTTATTACCTATAATGATTATTTGCTATTACCTGACTGACTAGTTCTTTAATGGTCAACTGTTTTAACATAAGAGCATTGTAGACTTTCTCCTCATCCTTCTTGACATAGATAGTCACAGCTAATTAYAACAAACAATGAATAAATAAAACACAAAATATAATTATGAACACACAAATATTTGATAGTCAAACTTATGGGCAAATGATGTAACATATAATAATTCCTTAAACATAACAATAACTTGCCATTAAAATATTTTCATTTACCTGGTCTATCTGGACGGATAATTTTTTGAACTTTCATCCTWGGCACCACTTCTAGGTCTGCCAGTTCCTCCTAAACATCAACAGAAATAATTCAATTACTTAGAAGTTTTGAGCAGCAACATATATAAACAATAATATAAACATTAAACAAAAGTTAGAACATTAATGGCCAACATAAAACACTTAGAACAAGTGGCCAAGGTATCTGTGAAATGGACTACATATGTATAGAGCATGATACATGTACATAGGACATATAGTGCCATAGTTTTGGCACATTTATACAAAACATTGTAGATAAAATACTGTAAAACATATACCTTTGCAACAGCAAGTGCTGTCTGGATAGTCCTYTTGTGCTCCCGATCCCTGTTTATAAGAAATAATAGTTCCTCAATAATTGAGACTTCCAGGTATTAAAAAGGTGCTTCAGCACTTCTGGTAACAATGTTGTAAGACAAGTTGAGAAGTTCTCATATTAATACCATCTCTCTACACTTCTCATTAGCATCAGAGGGACGTTAAAGAACCCATACCACTATTCGACTAAGAGTAGGGCACGGAGTTCCCAGTGGTGTGGCCAGGGCTCATCTCACCAGCATTGAGGTCGGCTTGGCGTAGTGTTCGTATAAAGGTTACTAGTCAATGAGACCACATACTAATATACAGCTAGTAACCCAATGAACGTTGCCAAGTGCTGGAACCATGTAGATAGATAGATAGATACCATAGATATTTTTTTAGAAACATCTCACAAGATGGCATACCTTATAGCTGACAATAATGATGATGTTTGAATAACTTGCTCAGGCGATGCAAGAATGTTCTACAAATTTAAAGCAAAAGAAAAATAAGTCATGATGGAACTGGAATATTACATAAGAAAATGAACTTTAAATGATTAGATGAYTAGGGTTAGATGATTTCCGAGATAAACTGGAGCTTCAAAAAATATCACAGGTCTATTTTCTAGGTCGGCTTCACTTATTTATATTTTTAATTTTAACATTCTAAATGCACTAAAAAACATTAATATTTCTAATAAAATCAACTCAATTTCCAAAAAAWTWGYMKGRMYT